CAGCAGGTCGAGGCTGTGGTGGCCGGGAGCGGCCACTGCACTCCAGTCTGGGCAACAGGGTGAGACTCCAACTCAAAAAAATAGAAAAAAAAATTAGCTGGGCATAGTGGCATGTGTCTGTAGTTCTAACTACTTGGAAGACTGAGGTAGAAGGATCCCCCTGAACCCAGAAGGTTGAAGCTGCGGTGGCCACAAGCGTGCCACTGCACTCTAGCCTGGATGACAGAGTGAGACTCCAACATACATACATACATACACACACACACACACACACACACACACACACACACACACACACAAAAGCTCAGGGCAAAATTCGGGCTTGGAGTTTTCAACGGTAATAAATTATCCATTACCAAAACCAAGAAGTGAACCAGGAGTCTTCTCTGCACCAAATATCACACACCGAAATCTCTGACACGCGCACATGCACACACACCTGGGTATTCGTGCAGATCAGGGCTCCCTCACACACCCGTAGTCCACATACCAGCTGATACAAACATGTATAAAAAGGGCTGGACTTTTATTTCCAGGTTGGCACATGTATAAGGCACAGGGACAAATGGCTTTGGGGCACCGGAAGTAGAAATGGGGAGGGGTGTGTCTGAGGCCTCCCTACCTCCACCACGCCGGAAGCGCACTTGAGACAGGCCCGGTGGGGGGGCACCCCGGCCCAGGGCCCTGAGGGTCCTGCTGGCTCTGGATGAGAGCCCAGGGACAGCTCCCCAGGCCAGGCGGGACCCTCCCCTGCCAAGGCGCGAGGCCGGCTCGAAAGTGCTTGGCGGCTCCCCGGGCACGAAGGACCAGGCCCCGGGTGGGCTGAGGTCAGAGAGAGAAGAGCAGGACGAGCACGAGCAGGAGCACCCCCAGCAGCACCACGATGGCGCACCACTGCCGGCGGTCTGGGGACGAGAGCGTCCGAGGTCACGGGGGTGGCAGGGGCGCCGCCCGACCGCCCCGCACCGAGAGCCGCCCGCCCCAGGGGCGCACCACTGGTCATGTGCGACACTTTGGCCATCTTCCTGAGGACGCCGTCCATCCGGGACTGGGTGTGGTCCATCT